AAAGTGTGTCGATAGTAATGGTTGTTATTTCGATTGATGAAGTTTCGTTCAAGCCGAGATATATGCATTTAAAGTTTGAGGCGGAAAACCGCAAGAACTTTCTTCACGACCTAATACATACATACTTTATGATGCGAGGACAATGATAGGCAGTTTGTACGTCCGCTTTGGTGGATAGGCCAAAGAAGCAGTTGCTGGGAATCAAATGAGTGGAGCTGCAATCGTGAGACATTACTGAGCCGGTTCGAGGTGACCTAATAGCTTGTTAATGAATCACTTCCGGAGAAGAATTCCAGGTCATTTAGTTCTCTCGCGAACTATTTGAAAATCTCTTCACCGCCCTCTTACCCCCTAAACAATACATTTTTCGTATTTACTGTTTATGAAAGTGTTTCACCCTAACCATATTTGATTTCTATCTTAGCAGGACATCTTCAGGCAAGTAGCGGATCGCTTGAAATTAGGACAAACAGTGGAACCAGAGAGTTTCGAAAGCGTCACTGTGTTCTTTTCCGATGTAGTCAAGTTTACTCAATTAGCTGCTAAATGCACAGTATTTCAAGTACGGTGGATCATTTTCAATAGTGTCTTCAGCACTTTGTCATTTCTCGTTCTTATTACAGCTTGTAAACCTTCTCAACGATCTCTACAATGGATTTGACTCGATCATTGAGGAGCACTCCGTATACAAGGTAATGACCGCCAATTAGTTGTTAGTGTCCACTCAAGGGGACTACATCGCCTGGGCTCCCATCCTTCATCATTATTCGTAGTATTAACAGAAAGCGAAGGAAAGCAGACAACTATTGGATCAGGTACCAACTCAATCATGGAAGTAGATCCATTACGGCACTCGAATGCTGTTCACCATAGAGAGTTCAAGTATCATTTTTAATCACCTTAATCTGTTCGAAACAAAAGTGCTTGTAGAGGAGATTTGATGGAAGTAGGAAGATTAAGGTCTGGAGTAAGGGCGGGTTTTTAGGGCGAGCTATACCCTAAAAGTAGCTGTTAAATACTAATTGTTTTCCATAAATTAGCAGTTCTCTATCTACATTAGTGCTCTGAAGCTGTTGTAGGAACGATTTTTCAGGTGGAATCGATTGGCGATGGATATTTGTGCGTCTCTGGGCTTCCGGTGAGAAATGGTTATGCTCATATCAGAGAGATAGCTGAGCTGTCGCTATCCTTCATGAAATTCGTGGATGAGTTCAGAATAGTTGCTCTTCCNACTTCACTCCTTCGGAAGTCAGAATGCAGTCATACTCTGCTAGAACTTCTGCTTCTGTTTAGTTGAGAGGTAATTGGTTTTACAATCAAATACTTATGAGTGCTTCTCGAAGAATGGTTTTCGTTGTGACCATCGTGTCAAAAATCCATGGAACACGGCATATGCTCAGCCATACACTCTTGTCAGGAACATTTTTTCGTAACGTAAAAGAAGGTCGGAAGCTGTGCGGGACGAGTAGTCGAGCTCATTCCAACCGTGGAACTAATTCGAGAGCGGCGGTCGCAAAAACTGCTGCTGACCTATCTTTGGCCAGAAAGCTAGAAACGTTTTCACCATTTCGTTGTCCTGTTCACACTTTAGTGAGCCCCACAATAAAGGTTGATAGGCAGAACAACACAATGACTGCGGTAATGAAGAGTCCTGCCTACAACAGAGAAGGCCCTCAGTTTGAAGTTACTCTATGTTTGCTGCCAGAAAAGACTTCCTCTGTAGGGGGTGACTATGGATTGTTCTTGAAAAGAGAATTTCTTGAAACTCGAATTCACTGTAGGCTCTTGTGTCGCCTGTGTCGTTGGACTGAGTATGCCTCGCTACTGCCTATTCGGTGACACTGTGAACACTTCATCACGAATGGAAAGCAATGGGAAACGTAAGTCCCCTATCAAGATTTATTTTCGTGAAAGTTAGCAAAAAGCTAGAGGACAGGGAGATCATAATTGGTAAAGATCATGTCGAAGATTTGTAAGGGGTTTTGTGACTATCATCTTATTTCCGCTAATTTTGGTACATTCAGCTGGTCACATTCATATGTCCAAGGAAGCGCACGACTTGCTCATCAACGAATTCCGAGCAGAGTATGAGACACAACCAAGAGGGGAAGTAATTATAAAGGTGAA